CCCAGTAAGCTCTGGATGCTCTGAGTGCTCTGGCCGCATGATTTCACGCTTGTCTCCCATTTGTCTCCCACTTGTCTCCCAGTAAGCTCTGGATACTCTCAGTGCTCTGGCCGCATGATTTCATACTTGTCTTCCATTTGTCTCCCATTTGTCTCCCAGTAAGCTCTGAATGCTCTGGCCGCATGATTTCACACTTGTCTCCCACATGTCTCGACTTGGCTCCCAGTAAGCTCACTTGTCTTCCACTTGTTTCCCATGGCCTGTCTGGATGCTTTGTATCCCCGGGCTTGGCTGGATGCTGGGCCGATTAATTTTAGCCCTTGTACGGCGTCCCATTGTAAAGTCAATGAAAAACATAATTTTAATGCTTTCCCTTTGAATCTAGTATGTGCGTCTACATGGTGGACTATAGTTTTCTTCCTCTAGGAAATACTGCTGGCCATATTGTTCGGAGATCTCATTTTTGAACATTGCTCTGTTTGGGGTCTACGCTGGCATAATTTTATTTTGCTGTGTTGTCCTTCCTCAGCCCTCCTGTTGGCCATAATCTTGGAGAGGTGAAGTAGAGCTTGGTGAATTCGCAACAGCGCTTCGTAGATGCAAAGGCACTGTGCATGAGTTGCAAAGGCATTCAGCCAGCTGGTGCAGGTTTCGGGTGAGAAATGTAGATGCCAGAATTCCCGGCATCTCTTTCCGCCCAGCAATGATGAGCGCCGAGACGAAATGTCACGTCACGCTGGAGCTGCGAAAACTGAAGAGTCTGGTGGAAACAAGTCGGATTCTGCAGGACTTTGATTGCATGAGCTCGTGCTTACATGTACAATGTTCAACAAACTCCCAGGCCACATCGGATGCACCCTCACTATCAAGGCCTTTTGGGGAACCAAGGCCGGTCTGCTCACAGCGGTTCCAGCATGTATTTCACGCTGAGTGTCCTGGACATGTGACGAATCGACGGGCCCCTGTCTTGTTTTCATCATAGTCATAGACTCAAGCAAACATGCCGCATGCCGCATGCCTCCCTTCACAAAGATCAGGAAACGAGTTTAGAGAGGAAAACGGAAGAAAAGGGAAAACAAAATGGCATAAAGAAAGACAGAGGAAATGATTTGTCCGAACCGTTTCAGAGGAAAGGAGGGCGCCGTGGTTTCGGCGGGATCCGGCTTGTAATGGGTGCGGCCATGCATGCCCATATGCTGCAATGGGTGTATCCAAACATGATTTTCACATGTAGGGGCAGACCTTTGCCCTATTTGTGACAAATCCGGAAAGGCGATGGTGTGAGATGACCATCTTGCAGGCTGGATGAGAGTAAATACTGCTCGCGCATGACGTGGAAAGGAGCCAGGGATAGCTGATAGCCGGGGTTCATTTTTTGATGGACGGGCTGAAGCGCAGCTGTGTCAGCCAGAGGTGGCCTGTTCACAGCAAACAGCTCGACCATCATGAAGGACGCGCCTCACGCCGCCAAACAATTGGAGTTTGTAGCAGCCTGCAACCCATGCTCTTGTTGTGGCTGATTTGGCCGACCCAAACGAACAACTGCGGTGCCCAAGAGTACTCAGCCTTCAGAAAACCCAAGTGAGCAACGGGCACCATATAACATCCTTTCAATCCGAATAAGGCCCCCTGCGAAACACAATTGGAATGTGAAAAGCAAGTCGTAGCCCCTCAGTGGGCAACGCGGCAGCCTGTAGCCCTTTTCTTGGCGCAGCTTTTTGATGTCGAATTGGGAAGTGAAGTGACCTTGATGAAAGGAGTTGATCTGAAGCTACTAGTAACAAAGGGCATCGCTACTAGGAGCAAGGACGCTACTAGGTGCTCCTGGCCTCGCTACTAGGAGCATTCTTACTACTAGGAACAAGAAGCTACTAGTGACAGAGCTGTCATTTTTTGGATCTCCCGGCTCGATGGGTCCAAGGCGAAGCCGGAGAAACGGTGAAACGGTGCAGGACCTGCCTGCAGGGGACTGCAAGGGGCCGGTGGTCAAGTACAGGATTCCCAGGCGCATGTTCCCGGTTAGTAGCGATGCCCTTTGCTCCTAGTAGTAAGGCCAGGGGCCCCTAGTAGCGTCCTTGCTCCTAATGATGGAAATATGATGGAATATGTTAAGCGTTGCAGGGCGTCGTCCACAGAGGAGTAAACTGAGTAAACATATTTGTGTTTGTGAGCATGTTTGCAAGAGCATGGTCATCCTCATAATACGCAGACTTCAGATCCACCAGAGTGGAGACTCGAGAAGAAAATATGTTTTAGCTTTAGATCTCCTGGGCAGAGTTGATTCGCAGCATACAAACCCACTACATATATAGATTCAGATGGAAGGGGTCCTCCTTTTCAGATCAAAACCCAGCGACTGCCATGGCTCAGCGCCATGTCGCTTCGCAGCCCTATCCCTGGCCATTTGATGGAGATCTTCGTCCAGAGAATACCGCCTTGCTGGCCATTGATATGCAGACAGATTTCTGTGGCAAAGGGGGCTATGTGGACAGCATGGGGTACGTTTCCCGGATTTGGCTGGCAAGTTTGTGATCACAGGCTAATTCCATTATGGTTATTAGTTACTTCAAGGGCCAACAAGTTCAGTGCAATTGAAAAAATATAGTCGCTTTTTCCCGGAAGCTCCACCGGAATTGGCTCCAAACCTCCCAAACATGTTTTCAAGTTGCACTTCACTCACTTGCTGGCTCCGAGGACATCTCGATGACAAGAGCACCCATTGAGCCATTGCGCTTGGTGTTCGAATCTTTCCGGAAGCAGGGGTTTCACATCATCCACACACGAGAAGGATACTTGTACCTGCACTTTGTACTCGTAGTTTGCAACGTATTTCTTTTGTCGTTTTTGTTGGGTGCCGACGCCTTAGGAGCAGATTTGAGGCTGTCGCATTGCTGTCGCTTGAGGCCACAAACCATCATTAGCAGACTGCCCAGCTAACAAGCGCTGGCGGTCACGGCAGATTGGTGCAGGAATCGGAGACCCGGGGCCCTGTGGTCGTGTGCTGGTGCTGCGTCCGGCATGTTTTGATAATGAGATTTTTGAAGCATGGAGAAGTCATGCACAAACTTGCGGATTACAGTGACTACAGAAGTTGTTGGGCCTTGAAGCGCAAGCCATGAAAGATGCTGAGATTTACTAGATTACTAGAGCTCGAAGCCGGGTGCAGTGGAAATTCACAGAGCCAAATATTCTCTACTCTACTCGAATACTGATCGGATTGTTCTTTTAACAATATGTGTATGCTGCATGCCTAGAATGAGAAGGACCGCTTTTTGCTTTAGGTTGTTTGCAATGTTAGGTGCGTGGCGAACCTGGATGGAATCTGATTCCTGAGTTGCAGCCGACTGAAGCTGAGGCGCCCATCAATCGCCGTGGAAGGGATCCTCATGCAAAAGGGTCAGAATGTGGCCATGACCAAGTGAGCACCCCTACAACAGTGTCATTGTAGCGGAATGAAGACCGGAGAGATTGATTGGTTACTTTTGTCGCCAGCTGGCAAGACTTGGTGCAGGAAGTCATTGACAAGCCGGGCAAAGGCTCTTTTGTGGCAACAGATTTGGATTTGATCCTCAAACAGAAGCATGTCAAGAACCTGATTCTTACTGGAATCACCACAGACGTTTGCGTCGGCACTACCATGAGGGAAGCCAACGATCTCGGTACGATGCTGAGTTTTATTGATTGAATGTGTCACCTGTAGCAATGTTGGTTGTTGCATACAGCTGTCAAGCACTCACATGATGTGAAGATACCTTTGAGAGCTGTATGATGTTGACTGAGCCCAAAACGTCTGAGACCTGAGGCTATGAGTGCTTGCTATTGTCAGACTGCACCGCAGCGACGGACTATGGGAATTACATGGCCACCTTGAAGACAATGCAACAAGCTGGAGGTAGCATGAGCTCCAAGTTCTGGCAAGATTTACTGTCTTTTGCATCAGTACTGAATGTCAACTTGGGCGATTGGTTAGCGAATTAGGCATACATACCTGATACTTCAACACTTCGAGCAGCCAGGCCATTCCTCGCAAATTGTTTACCCCTTGGTTCAGTGATCGTCCTGCAGAAACAAGAAAAGTGATTGAGCACCTGATCATTTTTGCGCACCTATCTAGACTTCAAGACAGTGCCAGCGGAAGATGCAACATAATGAAACAGTCTTGGTGTTTCACAGATGGTGGGACTCTGATTGCTACGACCAGGAGTCTTTGGTTGTGTGGCAGCCGCTGCTGACTTGCTCAAAGCCATTGGCGAAAAGGCGCCTTTGGTAAAGCACCGGCCCTACTATATAAGTTTTAGGATCCCTTGGACGCGTTACGGACCATCTGGAGATTGGACCTTGCAACGGTTGTGCCTGACTGTCTTCGCATATACAGTATTATCTTGATTCTCCAGATGTGACACAGGCATTGTCCGGTTGGCAAAGGACTTAAAGGAGAGGAAACACACAGAAAAGAAATGAGGTGTACAGTGTATACTGTATGCCTTGAACCATTTCAAGCCACTTTATCAACACTGGTATAGGGGTCTTCCATTTTAGAGTTCAATTATTCACACATGGTGTAGACCATCTAGCGGTCCAACCAAAACCCCCAGGTGCCATTTGCCATCGAAGAGTCCCTGAGCGACGTCGACCTTGGAGACGGACTTCGTGTCAAGATGCCCAAAGCCCGAGACCAATGGATGCCAACATCGCTGGCCGAGACCATGGTCGCCCCGCAGATGGGCACGAAGAAGGGCTTCGTCCAGGTGTGACTTTTGTGAAGCATATGGGCGCGAAGACACGTGCCGGTCATGAACTTCTATATGTCACAGGATGGCTTCCTTTGCCGCAGGCAGATCCATACTTGTGGCCATTCGATGGCCAGCTGAGAAAGGAAAATACTGCTTTGCTATCAATCAACTTCCAGAAGAGTGTCTTTGACCCTGAGGGCGACTTTGCCAAATCTAACATGCAGGACCACAGACATGCCGGTGTTCTCATTCATCCCTTCAACCGTTCTGTCGTCAGGAGGTGCTCCAGAAGTCTGCAGAAGTGCTACAGATGATGAGATTCAAAGGATTTCCAGTGCTACATATCCGAACGGGTCAGGCAAAAGATCTCTCCGATACTTCCAGGCCAAGTGTACAAATATGGACAACACCACTCGCAGGTTGTGCGGCTCAGAGCTGTCCTGTTCAGAGATGTTAGATGATGTTAGGCTGTTTGGTCCAAATTGGGTTGATGTTCGGGTCCTCATTGGTGCACGTTGCTATCATCCAGGTTCAGGATCCTCAGAGCTACTGACTTACCCAATTATCAAATATAATCACATAATTATAAAATATGTACGACAATTACATATATTGTTAAATATGTGCCTTATTGGTACTTTCATCGCTTTCATCCCAAATCTCTGTCATGGATAGTGTAAGCATGTGTAAACCGTTTCTTCAGTTCCAAGTTGAATTATTGTAATTCCAAGTATTTCCTGTGTCGAGATGAGAAGACCGCCTCTGAAGAGGCGGGCGGCATGGCGGCATGTGTCTCAGACACCTCGAAGACCTGGCCCCTTGGGGCGCTTGGTGCGAGGTGATCCAGGCACCGCACAGATTCGAAGGGGTACGCCGAGGTCGCCCGTCTCATGTGTAGGTCCGAAGCAACGGACCCAAACGGTTCGACGCCGTTCGACCCTGGGAAACGGTTCAAACTAGCCGAATGATGCTCAGCCGTCACTTGGCTGAGTTGCGCGGAAAAACGCCTGCAATAAGTACAAATAGGTGTGTGCTAAATTAGGAAGACCTCCCAGTTCAACCCCCCTGGAAGAAGGAACATAGACCAGTCTACCCGGGCCAGGGGATCTCCCTTATTGCTACTAGTAGGCAGGAATGGCCTAGCGATGGCCTCCACCTAGTAGCATCCCTACTAGTAGCAATTAGGGTACAAATGCTCCTTGAAGCTTCTAAGCTCAGAGGCTGGGACTTTGTACCATTAATGGCAGCTCTGCCAAAAGAAGCTGTGGTCGAGAAGCCAACGTCAGCAGCTAAGACCTAAGAGACAGTCTGAGAGAATCAATCTTTTATATAAATGTAAACGCTTTATAACAGTAGGCTCCAAAGTGATATGTAAAATTGTCAATAGGGATGAGGTCTCAGTATAGTCGCTATACAGGTACATGCCATATACTTTTGGCTCAAGTGCCCAACCAGGTAAAAAGGAGCTTTAGCGCGCGAGCTTCATGTTAAACTAAGGGCTAGAACGGGGCCAGGGGCACGCTTTTCATCCGTTCGCAGGTTATCAGCCGTATCCAGACTCCTTTGAGCTGGGTACGAGCTACGGCCTTACACAACACCATCTAAACGCACACGCATCGGATAGATCAGTTACCCTCAGTCACTGAAGATGGAACAATCCGACGCCAGCACTGCATCCTTTGGGGCAGCTGCTGCGGCCGCAGATCGGATGAGTGCATCCCACAACTCTAGTCCAGGTACGGTCGAAGCGGAGACTCTGACAGTGGTGAGAGAAGATGCGACAGGTAGAGCACGAAGTCGTTCCCCGTCAGCGCACTCGACACCACCGGGGGGGACACCGAGATCGGGCCGTAGCCCTAGGGAGACAAGGAGGAGGACTGACACCGGAGCTGTGAGAGTGCTAGCTTTGGAGGATGGGTCAACTGTACCAGTGCCGTCGGACAGCGAAGCTGGAGATGGAGCAAGGGCAAGCACTGACAACCTACAACTAGCACGGGCCGATGGAGACCTCAATGCGAAGTGTGCACAACTACTTGCCGAAGTGCATATGTTGAACCACCAAAACGCATGGATGGTCGAATGTGAGCAGAGACAGAACCAGATTATACAACACGAGACCGAAGTCCACGAAGTAGTGATGGCACACCTCGAAGAATGTTATGTCGAAGGATATGGAAATCAACGAAGAATCTCCCAACTTACAGAATCCAGAGACTGTTTGCTCTCAGCAGCACACGATTTGCAATACCAGATTGACACTGATCGTGTGGCAATGCGGGATCGTCTCACCCAGTTAGGGGAGTACGCTGATCGCAACAGCGCAGAGATGGTTAGTCAAGTCGTGAACATCGGCACGGAAGAGATCCAGGCTATATCGGCGGAAAGAGATCGAGCTGTGACCGAGCTCATGACTGCAGTCGCAGATGCTGAGAACATTAGGGATCTGTATAGGCAGGAGATAGTTGGACTACAAAGGCAGAGTGTCAGGAACAAACACGAATATGCCGAGGAGATGAAGATGAAGGAAGCAATGTATACAAGCAAGATCAAATGGTTATCAGAAGAGAATGAGGTGCTCAACAACCGATCTTATAATCAGGATAATTTCATCATGACCATCAGAGAGCAATTGAAGAGGGCGAACGAGGAGTTGACGCAGGCGAGGATTCAAGGATCCGATCGACCGTCTCAACCATCCAACGCCGAACTCAAGAAAGCTGAGGTCAAGATGAACATGTTGGAAGAAGACATTCTACGTAAAGAGAGGATGTTGAAACGTCTTCAGGAAGAGTTGATCGAATCAAGCGCGAGTGAAGCACAGCTGAAAGTCGCACTGAAGATGAAACCATCAGACATGGGATCAGAATCCAATGTGGAGAATGAGATGATGACCAAGCTTAGAGCGGAACTTGAACGCACCGAAAAGTCATTAAGGTCCGAGGAGAAAGAGGCGATGGAGTACTACGAAGGTATGATGCAGAACCAGCAGGACATGATGGAATTCGAAGCACATGCAGCACGACTCAGAGATGAGAGGAATAAGTACCGGAGGAGGTATGAAGAGGAGCGCATGAACGCTGAGAATGCAGCTGCAACCGAACATGGTGCCGCTTCATCCTCTAGCTCGGGTGGCTCCAAGATATCTCGGAAGGAACACGAGAAGATCAACATCCCTGCATGGCCCAAGATACACGACTTGGAGGTTTGGAAATCCCAAGTTGTAGCGGCAGTCGTGACGGCATCGGGCGACGAAAGACAAGAAGATTGGATCCAGTGGCTCTCGGATGCCTTCAAATCGCCATATGACCCATTTCTGCTCGAGACATCGGGCGAAGCAAGATTCGCTAGCATAGATGCTAAGCTAGGTATCACCCTACACACGATTATCCACGCAGCAGGTGAGAGATCTCATGACGTACAACTGAAGGTGAGGCAGATGATGCAGAGACGTGCGAGAGGCACAACTCCGGGAACGGTTAAGGGACGAGAAATGTTAGCGTTGATCGTCGATAGCTTCCGGAGTGCCGACAACGTCGATGTGATGTATGCATCTAAGCACTTATTCGATCTAAAATTCCCTGGGGATAATCAACTATCCAGATTCCTTGGACAGTGGGATGAGATTATATCAGGTATGGATGCGGATGACATGCTTCCTGACAAAGCACTCCGCAACCTGCTTTGGGATAAGATTAAGGATTCCAAAGTTATGGCGTTAGACTTGTCCGTGTACGACAACATGTTGGACAAGGATCCGGATAAGACCTACCAGAAGTTACGAGAGATCATGGCGAAGTGGATACGGAAATCAATCGAAACCACAAACAAGAAAGAAAGGGAAAAGGCTTTTGAGAACCTCATGAAGGCTACACCAGCGGAGAAGAAGGACCCTAAAGCGAAGCCCAAGAATACCAAGGCCGATCCACCGAAGCTTGACGCCGCTCCAGTACTTCCTCAGAATAATCCGAAGGATCACCAAAAGAAGGACAAGAAGCAGGATCGTGGAAGGTCAACCACGAAGAGCCCAAAAGGGGATCGTGGCAGATCAGCGACTCCGGCAGACACGTCCAAGATAGGATGCGCTTTCCACTTCCATGGGAAAAACGGATGTTCTAGAGGAGACAAATGCAAGTTTAGTCACCAGGAGAAGCACAAAAGTTCTGCTAAGAAACCAGAAAGCCTCAAGGGTGACAGATCAAAGAGTCCGGGTGGCAGGAGCACTAGCCCTAAGCCAATGAAGGATCAGGTCTGTTGGAATTGGCAGAAAGGATCGTGCAAGTTTGGGGACAAATGTCGACGTCAGCACCAAGCTGCTCCTGCTGCAAAACAAGAGGCTAAAGGCAAAGCCAAGCCCAAACCGGCTGCGCCAGCCTTCATGCTTTGCGGGGACATCGAGAGTGATGACGAGGACATACAACCAGCACTTCCCAATGTACGACGAGGTGGGTTGGCGCTTCGCTTTAAAGTCAGATTCGATGACCAGGCGAATGTGACCACGTTCCCCTGCGATCCTGGTAACGAGCTAAACTCCCGTCCCCTCAGGAAGAAGAAGAGTGAGGTACAGAAGGTGGATACCGAGCTCATTTCATCGTTAAGAGCCCTCAGAGTGAACAATATAGCTGCACGAGTAGCACATGCCAAAGGTAAGATGATGGAGTTATTTTCCGCTGAACACATTGCCAAGGCATGGATACAACTCACTCAAGATGAAGGAATCGAGGTGAACGTCGACCTGTCTGATTTCAACACCAGCGAGGTAGTAAGGAAGGATTCTGTCAACTATACGATACCAGGAGACACGATGTTCATGGCGGTGGAGAGGTATGATGGACCACCGATACGCTTCATCATGGACACGGGATGTGGACACGACTTGATCTCAAGAGAGAAAGTCAATGCCATGGGCCTTACCACCAAGGAAGGACCCAAATCCGTGAGCTTCATGACAGCGAATGGTGTAACTAGTACATCAGAGATGGTGGACATCAATGTGGACGAACTACCCATGATGTCCGAGGCACACGTGTTGGAGAGCACACCATCAGTCTTCTCCATCGGGAAACGGTGCATGGAACAAGGGTATTCATTCATATGGCCGGCAAATCAGCTGCCATACCTCATCGACCAGAACGCGAACAAGATTCCGCTATCGGTGCATGACAACATACCCTACATAAAGGTGAATGATGATGACGGGAGATGTTTACCAAGACCAGACGGCTTGGCTACGATACTTCATCGCATACTGTCAGGTGTGGGGCATGAAGACGAGGCCACAGCAGGTCAGGAGACACAGCAAGAGGAACCTCCGCCCAAGAAACTACGGAGACGGAGGAGAAAGAAGAAAGATAACCAGAGAGATCGAGATGGTGAATCTGATATCAATCCAGCTGTCGCAGGCGTCGAAGGAGAACCAGAGGAACACGGTGATGATAGGCATTCTCCTGAAGAGGAATATGACGGGGAAGACCCGAGATTCGATCGTGATCACGATGGTCAACCTGAAGAAACCGAAGACGACGAACATGGAGGTGATGCAGATTCTGAACGAGAGGAGAGTGACATTGGTGAAGAGGAAGAGGGACTACTGGAAGTCGATGTGGTTGACGGGGAAGCCAGACTATCGAAACCAGGAGTGCTGAAGAATGAGGCGAAATCCATATTGCATCTGATGACGCACCGATACAAGAACCCATACTGCAAGTCATGTGTGAGAGCGAAGATGAAGCACTACAAGACTAGCAAGGGGGCTTTCAAACGGAAATTGAAGGCATTTGGTGACCTTATCACTTTCGATCTCATGAACACTCAGAAGATGGCAAGAGATGGGATCATGCCGGATAAGGATGTATTAGTGATTCGAGATCGGTTCACTGGTGTGATATGGGGCTATCCATTGAAGGCAAGCAATAGTGACGAAGTGGTGCAGGCGATGAAGCACTATATCGGTAAGAGAAGGGTCACCAACGCTTATTCGGATGATGCGCCACAATTCGAAGCGGCACTCAAGGAGCTCCGGATTCCATTAGACCAATCGCTTCCAGGACATCCCCAGAACAATTCACTCGCCGAAAGAAACAATCAGTTCATGATGCTTACCACGTCGACATGTCTACTAGAAGCCGGACTACCACCATGTTTTTGGCCATTCGCAGTGGAATGCGTAAGCCATTTGTTGAACATCGAGAAGTTGAGCGATGGCAGCAGTGCATGGTTGAAATTGCACAAGAGCGAATTCCCAGGCATGGTGATACCACTCGGGGCGAAGGTGTTCTTCAAAC